CCCATTTCACAGGTGGGAAACCATGGAACAAAACTTGTTGTGAATTTATCCAAGACCACAGAGCAAATTAGCAGCAAAGGTGGGAACAGACAGCTGGGTCTCCGGCTCTAAGCACGCTGGCTTGCATGGGGCCTCCTAAGGTTATAAAGTTTACTGCCAACAACACTGTCCCCCTAAAGGATAACTTTATTTACATGCACACACACACACATTCTCTAAAAGACTATTCAGTAAGAAGTCCCTGGAGAGCAGTAAAGTGCCCAAATCCACTCCAATTAATATATGACACCATAAATTCTCTGACTACACACTGCGGTACAGACATGTTGATTTTCAATCTGCAAATGTTAAGTATGGTAAATATACCCAGTTCTCTGAAGCTAACCAAATACAAGCATTACACTATACATTTAGATTTTATTTGAGACCCCTCAAGAGCTCTGGATGCTTTAAAAAAATCAGTCTGGAATCCAAGAATAACATTTACAGAATATTTCATTGAACACTACAGAATATTGAAAAATGTTTACATGTCTGCAGAGTGCAGGCACAGAGCCAGGAATACAACCTTTTTGCCATCTTGGGCTTTCTACCTAGTTCTGTAAACTCAAGGAGTTAAATAATAATACTGTTGTAAAAATAAGAAATATGAACTGTTTTCTACTGGGTTCATGCTGTACACAGCAGGACAGCAGATGGTCTCTAAAATTGTATCAGTTAGTGAAAAGAAGTTGATTGTGTAGTTACAGAGATATAACACCCATCCTTGAGATCACAGCCAAGTTAATTGTCTTAATATTTTATTTTATTTATTTGTTACTCTGCCACAGCATTGTGAAGTAAAACTTCTTTATGTAACTTTAAAACTATGGCAGGAAACTTAATATGCCACAAAGGATGGAGGGCTGGTAAACACCCAGACCTCTCTTATGAAAGGAACATGGATCATGTAAGATGATCTTCAGAGTCAGGGCGAGGGGCGGGCAGAAATCTGGTACATGGGGTGGTGAGAGCAAAGCTGGCAGGGCAGTCTCCAAGCATTTATTTCAAACGCTAGCCAAGGAATTGATCAGCAGTGAGAAGACAGAAACCAGCCTGGGAGAAAACAATCATAAAATGACAGAGTACACGATTCCTGGAATGAGAAGGAAGAATAATAGCAGAAAAGCATAAGGAAATTCAGGAAACCTAGGTAATAACTCATTGGACATGAGTCTAAAGAAAAATGGAAATGCAGAGAGCTGCGGGTGTCTTACAGAAAAAATGTCGAGGGCCTCAGCTCAAAATCAACAAAGTCCCTGTTCTGACTTTGTTATTTAACTGATGTTAAACCATTGTAAGTACAAGGATGGCATGTGGGGAGTTAATAAGGAGCCAAGAGCCAGGTGGGAGAGAGCTGGAGCTGCATATGCTGGCACTGCTACCAAAAGAAACGTTCCTCAAATCATGGCTTTGCTTAGATGCTTTTGGAAGTCCCACAGAATGCTTATTAGTTCTGCGTTTATAAAGCAACTCATGATTACATGCAGCATTCACATTTTGGGGGGTTAGATTTAGGTGTCACGGTGTTTTGTGCATTACAGGCAATAGAGCAGCTGCTAATTACAAAAGGTATCACAGTAAAACTTCTCCAAACTGACTAAGTTCCCATAACACATGCACTCACCATGTTGTGTTTGAGAATCCTCTGTACCACTGGTGTGAACACTTCTATCACAACCATGGACCGCGGGCGCTCTCGGCAGTGCTGTAATGAGCAACAAGTCATTTTGTGAGCTGCAGAAATTATGAAGATGGGTCTCCCCATAGCTTCACAGCCCATGCATGGATTACCCCAAGATTAACAAGATCCAAGGGCTAAATTAATCTTTCCTGGGATTAGAGTACTCATAACACTGCGCTCTCCTATAGATTGGCTGGCGTCTAATAGATTACCATGGGAGCTTATTAACTACGTTGAGTTCCTTTTCCGATTGCCTATTCTTCACAAAACTCACTGAAATGTTGTATTTTTGGGACTGCTACCCCTTTTGTCAAATTTAGTTGAAACCTGCCAACAGTTTTGAAAGTAAAGGGGTTGGGGACAAAAATATAGGTAGACACAGGCAGCGTAATGGCACAGACCTCCTTTTCTTGGTATCCAGGCTAAAAACCTGTGGTGGATCTTGGAGGGTACCAATAAGCCCCTCTCTTATCACAGGATAAAACATACAATCATAACGTGTTAGAGTAATTTAGGTTGGGAAGGGCCTTTGGAAGTCATCGGGTCCAGCCCCCCAGTCAAGGCAGGGTCCATTTTGCCCACCTTTGATGGAGACCAAAGACAATAAAAAAACAGGAATAAAAGTGCCTTGAGTCCACGGCTAGATAGGACACTAAGACTGGCTTATAAAAAAGAAACAGTCAAAGGAGCCGAAACTTCTCCTAATTTCTGTAGGAAGAAGCTGCTTATGAATAACTCTGGATGGGATTATAAGCAGCATCCAAAACGTTTGACAAATGTATACCCAGTCATCAGTAAGCAAATTTAAGCAGACTTCAAACTGAAACACAAACAGGCCTAGAGGAAAAGGAGTATTTTCAAATCCAGAAGCTCGGCAATCCAAAGTACTCAGAAGTTTATGGAAAAGATGCAAAATGCAGCACAAACATGGATTTACCAGGAAAGAGAATGAGACCTTATGATCTTCCCACTGCCATTACCCAATTAGATAATACCATTAGGGCTGAGTTGTGCATCACATTACCAACTCATCTGAACACAGTGACTCCAATAATTTTTGCATTAGCTAAATAGAACATGCAGTAGGACATCTCTTGTACCCAGTCTGGGGTGTGGGAGTCTGAAGATTTTAACTCTCACAGAGCATCAGGACTATGCAGTCTGATGTACTAAGGATATGCTTCTATTAATCATAACGGTGCTGTTAACTACACTCCAATACCATTGGGTGTTGACCAAAAACTGAAATCAATTTGAGCACAAGGTAAGGAGCTAAAGAAAAACACAACTACCCACTCATAGAATTACACTCACATACAACTATGAGATTTCAGAAAGCAAAGTTGTTCTGATACCTTGCAAAAGAATTCACAGAGGTCAGGAGGAGGATGGTTGTTTTCCAGCAAAGGTGCAATTGCCTTTAAAAAGAAAGAAAGAGAGAGAAAAATTTAGAGGACTGCAACTGGAGTAAGCATTTTGCAGGGAAATATTTTTCTTGGGGAAAAAAAAAGCTCCCTTTTAAAAAAGAAGGACAAAAGCATCAATACAGAAATTAGAGGTGGGCTGTGTGTATATTTTACGCTTAAGCTCAAGCACACCTCTGCTGTGAATCCTCAGTAAAATTTTGCTTTTAACTACATCAGTGTCAATACATAAAACACAGCAAAGGAGTACAATTTTTAGAATGGTTTAAACGAAAGCAGGAGCAGACCAATTGTTTCAGGATGTAAAACAGCAATGATGAATCTGTCTCACTGTTTCAGTTATAACATCTCCCTAAAAGAAGAAACTGAAAAACACCACACACACGCCCTTTACAAAAAGAGTTTGAGCTCTTTTTGTGAGAAGTAACTCACTAAAAGTAACATAGCACTGTTCTTACCTTGGAGGACCCTATTCATCAAAATCAAGCATCTAACTTCGTGAAAGTTGAGATCAACCATTCCTTCTTTGTTGCCACGCAAACCAATGTGCTTGATGCTCAGTAAACACATTAGGGGTCATACCTGCCACTGAGGGTGTAATGAACTTACGTTGTTGCTACTTCCTTTGTAAATTAGAAAATGGTACTAGAACAATGTATTCTCTCTATGTGATGGTGCCTTCAGGCTTTTCCAGTCTTCAGCTAAAGGGATTCCCAGTACCCATTTAAAAGTAAGACTCTAAACACAGCAGCTAGGACATTTTGTATTAAGCAACTGAACACCAGATATTTTATCTGGATGACATCTGGAGTTTTACTAAGGCAGCCTGCTCTGTTTTTTGCTCTCCCTCTTGTCTCCTTATGGATTTCAGCCCCAGTGAGTCTGCTTGCAGTGACTGCGTTTCACAATAGCCACTTTCACACCAATACAGGTCAAGATTAATGTGAATTTTATCCATGAAACCCAAGCATGTCTGCAAACAGCTGTTTTGGTGACACATAACATTTGTGAAGTTTCTGTTCATTCCTGTGTGCCATCCGTCTGCAACTGTTCACTCTTCCTCTGGTGGTGGTCCAGCAACAGTGGACTGATGGAGAATACGACACCGTTCAGTGAGACTAGAATATCCTCGCTACCCATCCAACACCTGATCTTCCTTGAATCCATCTTTTTGGAGTGTTTGCTCCAGGACCCACCAAACCACAGGAGCCATGTACTGCAAAAGCACCAAGTGTTTATACCTGTCTGGTAACAGTCAGAGGATCAGCGCATCAGAGACCTGACCGGCTGCTTGTCAGCCTAAGAACAACGAGTTTGTTTCAGCCCAGTTCTTACTGAATGCAGGGAATAACCGCAACAGACACTACCAAGTGGGTCGCGGCTCCGCCTGTACGGTCAGTGTGGAATGGTGACAGCATGAAAACAGCCTGGTATTTTCCTTATGTGCGCTGTGGTTAAAAGCAGAAGCTTGCTGTCTTCCGTTGCCCAGTTATGGCAAGATGTGCTTCCCCTTCCTTACCTGGATGGGATCAGTTGCAATACTCTCAAAAAAAAGTAAATGCCACTTCAGAAACTTGATCGCAGGGACTGATTCCAGCTAAAACGGTATCTTAAGCAGCAGTTGAACACAATTCACACCTACTGTCAGCTACATGCCACCTTGTCATTCTGCAGCATCACAGAGACGTGATACAATCAGGTGGTGGTGAGGTTCTAGATTAGATTACTGGGAAAATCTCCTGGAAATGGCCAGTGACTGAAATTACATTACAGTGATGGGGAACCAAGTTCCACCTCTCTGATAAATTGTTGAGATTTTACATTTTGTCGCACAAGGAAGAGAGCTGCCATTTGATTCACTTATTTTCTATGTCTAAATAAACGCAACCTACGGAAAATAAAAAAGTTGAAGGGGATATTTTTACAAATCAAGAAAGCAGGGGGTTAAACTGCAGTGACGTATACGCATGCACAAGACACTTACAAAAACAATCACTTGCTCACATACCATCAGCAATGGAGACATTCTGTGCATGGTAGCATCAGCCCCTCAGGAAACTACTAAGCCTAAAGGTTTTATAGGGCACATCTGGAAATGATGGTTTTTGACTATTTAAAGTACATATATAGATATGAACACTGCACTGCGTAGCCTAGTTAGGAGGCCATTTTGGGACACAATTAACCCTCAACATGCTGTGCTACTTCATGTAAGTTGACAGGGAAACTTTATTGTTACTCATCTCTGAAACAAGAAAAGAAGAGTAACAAACCCCCACAAAAACCAGTAGAAAAAAATGAGTTTGAACATGCCTAAGTTTACCAGCATTAGTGGAAATGCTTTCCTATTTGCCGTACTTCACTGGGGCAGAGGCAAGCATTAATAGAAGTGTTATCGACAATACAGATTTGTCCTCACGTTTTGACAGAAAGATACTCACCACAATAATGCTCTCGTGGTCTTGAGTGGTTAAGTTGTTGTTCTGAAAGAGTTGAATAGAAGAAATGAATGAGCAAAGAGTACTCTGAGTTGGCACATCAGCATACCCAGCCCTCTTAGCTACCATCAGGCACAAGCAGAAAGGCCCAAGACTGAAATTGCTTATTTTCAGAATAAAATGAATCAAATTAAAATCATTCCCTTAAAGAAGGTGGTATACTATCTACTACGAGGGGTTGTGCCAGCTTTAATTTCTCCCTCAGCACCTTCAGATTCAAGCACTCCAGCCATGAAAGCTGAGCATACAAACACCGGGATGCCAGGGGAGGTCTCAAGCAGTTGCAAAATTAAAGCTAGCCATACATTTCTTAAAAACGTTTTCTTAAGACAGGCTGTATGTTTTTAAGAAAACTAACAAAAGGATTGTTGCGGTGTTGTATACCATTAGCTGGTATTAAACTAACTGCTGCAGTTTTCCTGAAATTCCTTCTTCAAACATGGAACCAGTAAAAGCCAGTCAATTTACTGGAAGTCACCTATGCTACCATCTATGCAAAAGAGTTTGCTTTTGGCTTTCTCAGCAGCATGATCCATTCAGAGCTTACAAAGTTGTGAGTTGCTAAGATCTTTGCCTACTGCAAGAAAAACAGCTAGCAACTTATTAGCTTATCACAAATCTTTGTACAACAGAAATAAGATATGAAAAACCTGCTTGGCATTAAATTTCCTATGAAAAGTTAACTATTTGAAATAGATGCTATAAAAAGAGGATAGATACCTCCAAAGAAGGAAAATATTTTTCTTTGACAGAACCAGTAATACTAAAATAGCTGCACAATGAATTTACTGTTTTGCCAAAAGAATTATTGGTCATGCAAACAAAGCCAATGGAATAGAAGTCAAGGGGAGTTTCACCATTGACTTGAAATAAGACATGAATCAGACCCATAACAAATTTACCATAAATAATCAACAACAAAAAAAAGCCTCAAGAGAATTGTGTTTTGCTTTCTTTCTAGAACTCTACCTAACATGGGTCAAATTCTCCTTCTCCCCAGAAAGTACAAATTCCACTGAAGTCGGTAGAAGTCACGAGCAGACTCAAAGGCAGAACTTTGACAGCCAAGTTAAAATAAAACCCACCCAGAAACTCTTAACTGTTTGTCTCTCATCTAAACGTGACAGCGTCTTGCAGGAGCACTGCTGAGGACATACCTCGGAGAGCAGTTTTGAGACGATCTCCAGTGGTGCTTGGTGAATAGAGTCATCCTGAAGCGGAGACGTCAGCGCCATGTCCACCAGCGTCCTGATCTCCTTCAACACCACCTCCCAGCGGCTGGGGTTACTGAGCACCTTCTTGTACTTGTAAATCTTTTTCTGCAAGAAAAATGGAAAGGTCACACTGACACCACCATAAACCCCTTGAAAAAAATTGACTGGATATGTGTTTCCTACATGCAACTGTCAAGTGGGCTGCTTTGTATTTTGAGTTTTGACGTTCCTGTTTGCTGAAAAACTGTACAAAATATTTAAATGGAAAAGAAAATCTCGTACGTCTAAACCAATTTCTTCTGTGGAAGGAATGAAAAACTGTGACTCCCTTTTTTATTTTAAGTAAGTTTTTAAACTCCAGAGCATATTTCCTTTCCATCATCTCCTCTTGTAAACACCTTATTCCTCAGGCTAATAACAGATACCTGCTATTACACTATTTCCAAAGCTGTAGGTCCTTTTAAAGGGAGTCAGTCATTAAGAAAGCAGGAGAGAGAGAAGCCATCAAAACATCATTGAAAAGATACTTTATTCTACATTGCTAATTGGTGAATTCACATTCAGAATGAATTAAAATGAATTTCAGCAGAAAAATTCCAGTAGCCCCACAGACTTTTTTTTTCTCTTTTGAAGAATCCTGAAAAGTTGTGTTGTCACCCTCCAGCTGTAACAGAAACTAACTTGTAAAGTCTCCAATTCTTCCACGCAACAGCACTTCCACTCTCAAGAAAAGCATTCCTGACTGTCTTATCCCATCAGCCCCGGTCCTCTGCATGCCTCTGCATTACTTCTAGCCACGTCCATGCTATTGCACCGCTTGCCCCGTCCGCAGACCAGCTGATAAGCAAAACACAATTCTTACCTCCTCAGCAGCCATGTTGCCACAGATGACTGGAGCAGAGGTTGCTTTGTATTATATATAGTATTCTTTAAAGAAAACCCACCCTCCCAAATTCCCAGAGGTGGCTGGATGGAACTCTAGAAGTTCAAGGAAACGACGACGAGCGTTAAAACACCACTCCCGACAAGACGAAGCACGCGCTAGAACCAGGGGAGGCTTGCCGAAGCGGGCAGCGCCGGAGGCACGGCACGGCCAGGGAGCTGGCAGGGAAGGAGCTCTGCCGGCTGACGGAGAGAACAGCCAGGACAACAGCGTTTTGTTTGGTTCACATGCCCTTCCGCTCCTCTCTGTGTGCCAATCGGGTCCTCTGGTCAAAGGGGTCTCAAGAAGTCTGGATACATCCTCAGGTTTATTAAATGACACAGGCTGGGCACTTCTCTGTTTACATGAAAACATCAGCGTTATGAACTAAAAATGGATCTTACATTCCTCGGCAGCATTTCCAGGGAAGTCACGAAAGCTGCCCGTGTCGTGCAGCTTGCAGACTCAGCCGCACATTTTGGGCTATCCATTGTCAGTGTAATAAAGGCAGAGGACATTGCAAAAGGGTCAGCCTGCTGCGTGTTTTGTTGTGTTTTGTTTTGGAGCTTTGCCACCACACGGCGTTTCCCCCTCCACTCGCGCAGGGCAGCCCCGCCGCCTGAACAGGCTGGCTCTCCCCTTATCAGCCGCTTCCTTCCCATGGCGGCAGCAGATCCAACGCTCAACAGAAAACAGTCACCCCTGTGCCCTATCCGAAACACGAGAGAGGAGAACGATACAGAAAAATACGGATTTCAGATGCCTTGGGTTTGTCAACGTCAGGGGACAGGGAAGGGGGAAAAGGGTGGCACTGGGCTGACGTGTAAAGGCTGATAAAGCAATCCAATTATCTTTTTAATTAAATTCATGCAAGTACAAAAGCAGGCTGGCAGTAGTTCACATTGCAGTGCATTTTAAGCCATTGAAAAGCTAAAAGAACGTAAAAACACACGCTGTGGACGCTATCAAATCTGTTTGGGATTTCAGAACTGAGCAAAAAATCTTTGCACCTCTGAAGTCCTTGGGGCAGAGAGGGCCCACTGGCATTTTTAAGCTACTAGCACTGCTGCTACCATCATCACAGATTTCTTGGACTCTTTAGGAAACTTGAGTCATAGAGTTTAATTTCTCTTATTCGTGTAGTGTCTTTTTTTAGGGTCTTTTTGTTAGACCCACTCCAGCACTAAATAAAATCTAAACTTCAAAGCCAGCCAGCCAGCTTTGTAACTTGGAGCAACTCCTTTCTGACTAACTGAGGACACTACACAAAGCTAGCTCAACAGATACATTCTCCATGCCGAAATTTCTCCCTTGGTCCTGTACTATGAAGAAATCAAATTCAAAGCAGAATTCAAAGCTGGATAAAAATGTGGGGGCGGGGGGAGCACGAAGAGCTTAGACCAGGGGGTTATTGTATCCCTGCCTGCTCCGGGCTGCCCCTTACTTGGCCGAGTTCCAATGTGATTTTGCAGAGCAGCTCCTTCAGCCTAAGGGACAGCTGCTGAAGGAAACCCTCTTGCCCAACAGGACGCTGGTCAGACAACCCTACCACAAATAATTTTCTTCCACTGTCAAATCCACTCTTGCCTGGGGGGAGGGAGGAGCAAGGGAGGTTTCCTTTCCCTTTTAGAGATCTTCATTAAAAATTAAAATTCTGATGATGCTGACGTACATAAGAGAAAAGACAGCAGGAGCTGTACTCCCTGCTACTCGAGGGAGACCTACAAAAGCTGCTGCTCAGACCGGGCAGACAGCGACTCGCAGGGAGCGTCGGGGGACAGCTACCTTTGCAGACACGCTGAGCTCGCCGCAAGCAGAAAATCTGAACTTATCAGTCTCTGCTTCACGTTTTCAGCCCAAAGGATTGCACCGCACTCATATACTGAGCTGTAATCTGCAAGCGACGTTACAGAAGCCTTGAATAATGGTGGGAAAGCAGCAGAAAATAAATAAATAAATAGAGGAGCCATCCCAAGAGGGTTGAACTCTGCTATCCTGAACCTTTGCCCATGGATACGCTGCTGTTTTTCTCAGCAGAATGCTTTTCACTGTTGAGCGCCTTGCTGAAAGCCTCAATTAAAGCTTGAAACCTATCAGTCGGTTACAGAAGCAATTTGCTGTGTATCAGCAAGCACTCAGCCAACACCGAGCCATCTGCTCTGTTCTACCTGCGCTGACTCCGGAGCAAGGAGAAACACTCATGAGCTTAAAAGCAAAGCTGCCTGGTAGAGACCCGTCTCAGAGAACAGGCGTGATAACACTCGCAAGGAGTTCGTTCCCCCTGGATGTAGGTGTAAAAGATGCCTTCAGTTGCTGAAATACTCACACATCATTCATCATTAATGGCACGTGCAAGAAATATAACTGGGGCGGGAATCCAGTTTCACTGGGATTTCACCAAAAGCAGCAGCTCCTGCAACAATTTCTGTGAGCGAAAATAACACTGCCAACCTGGAATTTGACCCTCCTAGTTACTGACCAGCCAGGACCACACGGCTAGTGTCATTCCAGAATCTTGCTATGGTGACTTTAAAAGCAAACCCACTGAATTTAATAAGTACCCTGAAGAAGCAGCATGGGGAGTAAGTGACACTGACAGGGCATCATTCATTCTCAAATCACTCTAAGTAATTAAGTCTTGCAGAAACCCAAGGACCTTAGGTCTCAATCCTCTCTTAGAGGAGGAGGAATTGAAGTCTACATGTGAAAAGTTACTTTTCCAGTGTTATTAAGCAAGCAAATGTGAGAAAAATCTGTAAGCAGTGTTTTTTGCCATCAGCGCTCAAAAGCTCCTGAACGCTGCTGTGAACAGGAAGTTCAGGAGAGCCCAGGAAAATTTCAGCTTTTTAAAGCAACATCTTCATGTTTTTCTATCCCATAATGGCCTCATCCTGTAGCCCTTGCTCGTACATCACTTCCTTGGACAAGAATGATAATACTGATGTAGTTGACATCTAAGAAAAATGGACTCTAATGCACAAAATTGGACAGCATGGAACAACTGCCTTTTCCAGCCCTTGCAAGACCTTTCATGTTAGGAACATCTCAAAGCAGCCTGTGCACCTGATCCAAAAAGGGCAAGATGAAGTCAGCTGCCTTGATGACCAAATTTCATCCCCGCTTTGCTACTGGTGGCCAGGAAACATTCTGTACTCTAAGGAACCTGTCTTCCCATCAGCAAATACTATCTTCATTACATTAAAAAAAATTAATTGCCAACGCTATTCCAGAATAGCCTGTCAAAATTCTAGCTCTCTGCTCTTCAGCCCTTTACCACGCAACAGCATACGACTAATGGCTTCTTTACTGGAGAAGCTAGAGCTACTGCAGGAACGTACGCTGACTTTGAGGGTTGCGTCTGCCAGTAATTGTTTATTTCTTGCTGAGCAACGAGGGCAGCTCCAGCAAAAGAGAAAAGGTCAACCTCCCGCACAGAGGTCCTCCCCAGCTCATTGCGGGGATGGCTGAACCAAGCTAGTGTTACAGTTTAATGTTGACAGTGCTGTTGCAAAATGGAGGTGCCTCTTGCTATATGCAAATGTACAGAGTAAAAAAAAAAAAAAAAAAAAAAAAGGCACACAGAGAGCAGACTCCGGAACAGTTTTCTCCACTGCAGCAGAACATTTTGTTAAAACACTGCGTAACAAGAAACAGGAAGAGTTGCTTGCAATGTTCAACACACGTGCTTGGCTTGTCCTACAAAGCCCAGGAGCTGTACCATGTATTCTTGAGCACCACCTGCTGGCATTTTGTCTATTAACTCGTTACCTTCATGAACACAAAGACCGCGTGGCATCCCCAGAACTCAGCTAGATCCATATTCTGCTTTAACACTAGCAGGTATCACTTACTTACTTCACAGTATTCTGAAAAATTCCTAAGAATAACTTGTTGCTTACAGAAGTTTCCCTGATAGCCAGAGATGGGCTTAAATCACCAGGTGAATCTACTGAAAGCCTTCTGAACTAAGTTCCTACCTGCAACATTTACCGATATGAAGAAAAAAGAGCAACTTACCTGGAAAGACTAAGTCTATAAGAAGACCCATTCCAGGTGAAGGGCTGGTGCCAGGACAAGATTACAGAAACTTCTTTCCAAAATCGGGGACTTCAGACTGCTCATGCTGCAGTAATCAAACTCTTCACAACTTTCTGAAGGTTTTGCACGCAAAGATTAACGTGCT